AAATTGTGTTATTATTAATCTTATATTATTGTTGAAACTGATTTGTTTTGTCATCATCAGTTATTAATCAATCATTTATATTTATTCTCTTGTTTGAAATCGGAGTATCATTTTTTGATATAGATCTTTTTTTTTTGAGATATTAGTATTTTGATTTTCTTGATCAGCTCCTTTATCATCGGATCACCAAATTTCACAGGCTTTCACTTGTTAATTATTGATATTATATTTGAAATTCTCATCTGTAAGTTTCAAAGATTGAAAATCATTAGCTATAATAAATGTAATAAAATATTTACCTTCATTGTCCATACAGAAGCAATCAACTCCAGTGCTTCTGTAAAATTTTGGAAAGAAACAGGAATACTGTATAATGAACTTTTTACAAGACAGAAAACATACCCAGCAGGATTATCTAAAGTCATAAACATAAGTTGAAGACCCCCATGGATGTAGCCAACAGTTATGAGTTTCCTTCTTTCTTTCATATCAGAAATATGACTGTTTAATAGCAAAAGCATGTCTTTGAGAACCTTTGGCAATTTTAAATCTGCTTCAAAGAGCCATTTTGTAGATTTCTTTCCTTCATAGTTCTTTGCTACCTCAGAACCACCATATTCTAAAGCAATAGAAGATTTGCCATAGAATGTTATTATGATAGAATCAACTCGACTCCCTAATTTCTTTCTTGAGAAAGATCACAACCACGATTTTTTTTGAATTGAATATTTCTTATCCAACTAGAGTAGTAACCATCAATCTTTATATATAAACTAGAGTAAGGATGAGTGGCGACCATCATCACCACCCTTAAAACACTTACTCTTTTGCTTCTCCTTTATTTTTTGATTGTCTTCTTTTAGTGTTTTTTGATGACATTTTTTACAAAAAAAAAAAAAAGTTTGTGATTTGATCGACGTGTATATACACATTAATTATTTATTTTTTGACAGAGTCCAAGGTGACAAAATGTGAGTGTTGTTGTTTGGTTTGGTTTGGGTCTCCTAAAGAAAACGTGTTAATAACTAACCAGAGGTACTTTTTTTATTTGTATTGATATTTTTATAAATATTTTAATTGGAATCAGAACGCGGAAAAGGATCTTGCTGGGAATGAATGATTGGGAATTTAATATGTATTTACAAGAAGACGTCAAGGCAATAATACACCGTTGAAAAATATGCAATGTTTTATCGAAATTGGCAGTCGTTAAAGCACGCTACCTTAAAGACTTTACACAGTCATTCTCATCTTCCTTGTCATGTTCATAAGGCTAATTTGACCGAGATTCTCATGATCATACAATGATGCAACATAATTCCAGGGGGGGAGTGCTTGGCCCTGGAGTTTACCAAGACTGTATCAATTGTCAATGACACTTTCACTAATTTTCCCTCACAACACCAGACCAGAGAAGGCTGCTGGACTCTGATGTTAAGAGGAAAGTTGTAAATAGTGTTTGTTTTGTATAATCATTTTCCTGAATGCTCTGTTTCTCTGATACTAACCAATTTATAATTTTGGGTAGGGGACTGGATGGGTTTTTGCCCAATCAGTCCTCTGTCCCATAGATTAAAATTATTGCACAATTATATACACCTTTGTCAGCAATATGACCAACAAGAAAAAAGTCATAAAATGATTTGGATTTTGTTTGGTATGTTATGTTATAAATTAAACATTTTCATAAATTTTCTGTTTCTCTAATTTTGTTTGACCAACTGAACTTGATGTTATTTAATTAAATAGGGGCTTCAGGGAAAATCCAAAACAACAACCCAGGTTGCAACATCCTGAATTGCAGATACCAACTTTATTCTAGAGAGGTATAACACAATGCAACCATCACACAAATGTCAACTATCATCAGCAATCAATGCCCATATGGTAACAGCCAGCCTGGTCTGAGAGAAAGATAGGGAAATGTGTTTTGTCCAAAGCCTTCTAATGTATAGGCTTAATTTTTTTTATCGAAAAGATTTGCAATTATGCATGGTGGTGATAGGAAATTTAGTTAAATCTGACACCTGCAATCATCAGATTTATTATTCATAAGCAATTTTTTTTGTGAATCCCAGAGATCTGGGTAGACACATATTATTAAAAGTTTCATTTATGCATGGCCTTGGTATCATTACTACTTGGGTGATGCAATTGTTTGTTATGTCAATGA